CTTACCTCCTGCTTGTGGAGGGCCCTTGACCTGTCACACTCCAGTGTTAACTGCTTTTAGCTTTCCACTCTGCCCTCTCCTGCTGCTTTCCTTACATCCCAATTTGACATTCAAGGCTAAGTGCTGTATCTGGAAAATGAACCACCAGACTCTCTCTCTCTCTCAAGTCCCCTCTTTTTCTTTGGATAATCTTGGGTCTCCTTGGCATTTTTGCTCCTGTACCCTTTGGTATGGACACCCATTCTTGCCATATTAACTTTTCAAGGTGGAAACTGCCCAGGGTCATGAGCTCACCTGTTTTTAGTAGTTTGTAGAGCTGCCTAGGTCAGGAGCCCTCGGTACGACCTTTCCCAACTCGGTTGATGCTTGTCTTCTTTCTAGGTCTTCATTAAAACCAAGTAAGTGAGCTGGAGGTGGTGACTACAAACCCCAGAGGAGGAGCCTGAGCAATGAGCCCCTTACCTTGATGGGTGGTAAAGTTGAACAGAGCCCGAGCAAATATTCTTTCAGAAATTGGCCTTTAATTTCCATGATGGGAATTCTGTAGTTTTTCTCAAATAAAGGATCCCATATAGTGGCTCATAATAAATACCAGAGCTAGATAATCACAGCAGCAAAAACAAACAAACAATAAAACAAAAAACTAGACACAGATCAATCTGCCCACGGAGGAGGGTAGGAAGATTTGTAGGTCTCAAATGGACTCAAACTTGTGACTCTGACAGATCTTTGTGTGAGATTTATGAGGCAATCCTGCATAAAAATCCTTTCTTTCTAAACTCCCAGTTTTACTTACTTTTAGAAGGACTGACATAAATATACATCTCAATTAACAACATGAGGACCATTGTGTGAACTTTTAAATGTCCATGGTGGCTGTGTTCTGTTACATTCTCCTGCCAGGTGTTTAAGGCCAAATTGGTCTAACTGTTATTAAGAGTCAGCTGAGACTGGCCGAAAATGGCTCTTGGGAACTTGTGAAAAGACTCTTGGCTCCTTTGGCTTGTTCCTACCATTGTGCCATCTGCCAGGACGGGTCAGGGTCTGGCTGACCATGTGTGGCTCCCCTTGGAAGCATCAGGGACATTTCCTCCAGCCCTGATCCTTCTCTGGGCAGAAGGTACGCTGATTCTCTAGGTCCTCTCAATCCCCTTGATGGGAAGATTGGGTGACCCACTGGAGATTTGGGACCCTTAGAGGGATCCCTGGATCCTGGCTGAGGCTCGACAGCAAGGGCCAAAATACTGACTGAGTTTTACTTGCCCATTTTTCTTCCTTGACTTCTATCTCTAAGTTTTTGGATTTAAACATCCAGAAGACTGGGTTTCACAGTCCTGAAGTAGGAGTACTGGGCTTTAACCCTGTGTCTATGATTTTACAGTTCACCTTTCATTTAATTAGGGTCAGCATTAGTACTGGAAGTCACCCTAATGTCCTGTCTGTCTTATAGCTGATGGCATATTACCTAAAACAAACCCACTTTGTCTGAAAGGCAAAACACTAACAAGAAGTTCTAAAGTTTTACAAGGAAAATACAAAATAAGTTAACAACAAGCAAAAACATATTAAATTTGTATAATAGCTTTGAACTAATAAACCATATATATATATATATATATATATAAAGATTAATGTATTTTTGATATCTATTTTGCCTCCACAAAGATCCATAAATTTATCAACTCCATCACATGTGGATTCTTTAGAAATTTTATTTTCTTTTAAAATTTGTTTGCAACCTTAAATATTTTTTATAATTTACCCAAGCTTTCTTTACTTAGTTTTGTATCATATCCCTTGTTTCTTTCGAGGTCACAGTAATCCTTATAATAAGTCTATCTTTTGAACATAACTTTAAGTAAGTGTAAGTCCAGCCTTCCTTGGAGCCATGCTGACATGGAGTAGGGTGAGGGGCAGAGCCTTATCTCAGGTGCTGTGCTCTTGACAAACAGCACAGTTCAACACTGTGTCTGCATCACGAATCAAACAAAGCTGTGAGAGCTCCTAACTCATTTTCATGAAAAAAATGTAAAAATGTTTCCATGTTCCACATTGTCAACCTTTAAACACTCAGGCTTCTCCTCATTATCTTTCAAAAATGCATGTAAATTTCCATCCCAGAGTTAAAAAACAACACAAAATATTACATATAATTTACTGATAAAAGGTAACCTTTATCCAGTAACAGAACCTTAAAAGACGTAAATAAATACCAAACAAATCTGTTATTTTTATATAAATCTCAAGAAGACTTTTGCTACAGATAATTTTAGTTTAGAGAACACCAACTTGGTAAATTGCTCTTCTCAGCTTTACATTATAAAAGACTTGTGTACATAGAGGATATGAATATGTGAAGCCAGTAACAGTGTCACAGTCACACAGAAGTCCTTATATTAACTAAGTTTAACTTTTAAAATAAGGTTTAGAATCCATAGTGCATGATAACTAGAATCACAGGTCTGCCGAGTTTAGCAGCACTAAGCAAAAAGCAAAGGACAGTCTTAAATCTCACACACTTAGGAAACAGTATTAATGATCATAAGTAGAAAAAAATAGCACTTACTGGCCACCTTGCCTGTAAACCTATATATGCTTTCATTTTACAAATTTTACAGAACATTTAGACAAGCCTCAGACAGGCATATTGAATTTCAGATGTATACCTATCGCTAGCTCCATAGATTTATGGTTTCAACTACAGTGTAATAAGTGAAAATAACCATTATTTATTTAATTAGTTGTGGAGTACTCATTTAAAAGACTTTAAAATGAGCCCAAACCATAATTCCTTTGAGATTTCATTTCCCTAGTAAATAACACCCAAGGGACTCAAGAAATTATCTTGATGAAAATAACCCATCAATGTTTTTGATTTTTGTTTCATATCAGTACATTAAAATTTAACCTTAGAAAATCCCTTAAATAATTTTGGCTGCTTGTGCTAATTATAGCCAACTTAGTCTCATGCACAAACTTTTAGCTTTACCTTTCGCAAATCTTCTGCAACCTACTTAGACATTCTACAACTTGTTTATGTCCTTAGTTTTGCCCTTTTTTTATATTTGACTTTAATACACACAAATATATACTTTATCATATAAAATTATTTCTCAACCAAACAACATTTCTTTTTCCAATTTTTCATAATAAAATATATTTTTATACTGATAACATCCTTATATCTCTTTTTTTTCAGTTTCAAACCTTTTCTTAAATTCATATTCTGAAAAAAATCTTCATGAAATTTCTGAACTTAGAAAATTATTCCTTTTTTAATAAGAGGAAATACTTTGTGCTTTTTACAACACTTTAATCAAAACTGAGCTGAAATGTTTTATACTCTTTGCATATACAATTGTTTCTTAGAATTTTAATTCTTAGTAACCTTGATTTAGTTTAGATCCAGAAGCAAAGCAAACTTATGAGAGCATATTTACCAACTTATGAAAGTACACTTAATAGATTTACCAACTTTTCCATTTACCAACTTAATAGATTCAAGTATATTTTACCTTATGGAATTTAAGAAGACAATAATACCTAAATTTAAATTTAGTAGCTGATGTTTTAGTATTTTAACTTTACAAATTGATTAGATTTCTCCTCTAATAAACACATTTATAAATGTTTATTTCACTTATGTTAAATCTAATTTATTCATTTTTAATTTAGGTTACCCATGAAAACCAAGGTATCATACAAGTTTAATTCACACTTTAAGTATGTTGTTTCTGCCAAAGACAAATTCTTAAAAACAATGGATATGCTGATTTTTTTGTCCTTTTGGTATAAACCAAGGAATGGGATAGCTGTGTCAAATGGTGGTGGTTCCATTCCGAGTTTTCTGAGGAATCTCTGCACTGCTTTCCAGAGTGGTTGCACCAACTTGCAGTCCCACCAAGAACGTCAGTATTTAAAGCAGCTCAATTCAAAATAGCTAAACTATGGAACCAACCTAGGTGTCCTTCAGTAGATGAATGGATAAAGAGAATGTGGTATATATATTCAATGGAATATTAGTCCACTTTAAAGAAAAATGAAATCATGGCATTTGCCAGTAAATGGATGGAGTTCAAAAATGTCATGTTAAGCTAAATTAACAATTCCATATAAACTAAAAGCCAAATGTTTTCTCTGGTACACAGATGCTAATTTATAATGGGGTAGGTGGGGGGCACTAGGGAAGAATAGAGTTACCTTAGATTAGGTAGAGGGGAGTGAAGAGAGGGGAGGGGAGGGGATATGGGGTTAGGAAGGACTGTAGAATGAGACAGACATTATTACCTTATGTACCAATGTGATTCTACAACATACACAATCAGAAAAATGATAAATTATACCCCATCTATATATGATATATCAAAGTGCATAAATACATTCAACTGTCATGTATAACTAATTAAAACAAATTAAAAATTTAAAAAGCAATGGATATTACACTTTAAACATTTTATAGAAAGGGAAGTTTTCTCGATTGGCTGGACACTTAGAAAAATTTCTATGTATGTTAGTAATTTCAAAGACATTGTCACACCTACCAATGTAAATTGATCCTTTAGAAATTAAAATAAAGCCTGTCATAGGTTTTTACAGTATGAGCCAGACATGAGAAGGGCCTGTAGGATTGGGAACAATGGGGACAGCCTGTCAGCTCTGGGGAGGCTGAAATCAAAGGTTCCAGCAGCCACTGGGCCTCCATGGGGGCAGATCTACTCCCACTATCCCAGTGTTTTCCTCCTCAGAACTGGACAAAGGAGAAGAGCTCTTCCTTTTTCAGTGCTTTTGAGAGCTGAGCCTTGAATAGTTGGTCTCTGAATAAAGACAGCATGAAAAAACTGTGTGCAGCTAAAAAACATAAATAGATAAACTCTAGTTTGTAAAAACAAAACTAACAAGAGTAAAATATATAACTTTACGTTCTCAGGACCCAAGGTGAATACACCAGAAAAACTATGAGCTCAGAAAAAGGTCAAAGTTTTTTTTTTTTTTTTTTAAAGAAAAAAAAGCAGCCATAATTACCCTGGTAAAGGAGGCTGTCCACATCAGACCCGAGTGCCCTTTTGGATCAGATGAGTCAGCGCAGATATTTAAAGAACAGGAGAGGCCATGAGCTCTCAGGAAGAAGATGTTAAAGAAAAGACTTGCGCCTGTGAGATCCTTCTATTTTCCTTCCTTGCCCCTAGGACTCCAGTTCTCACACCCGTCACTGGTAGGTTCCTGTAACTGAGCTTCCCTTACTGGAGACTTTTTATACTCTGAGCTCACTGTGTGCTCAGGCCCCATACCTGGGGACTTCTTGGACACCCTCAGTTCTTGTTCCATCTGTCTCTGGTCATTTCTTTTCAGGGAGAAGAAACAACCCACCAGGACTCTGCACTCAGATTCTGACCAGGACACACCTCCTTCCCACACACTCACCCTCCCAATTCCTGACTGCCAAGGCCCGTTTTCTACCTTGGCTCATGAATGAGTTCACCTGGTTGCTGGTCACTTTTTTGCTTCTGCTGTGCTCCCTGAGACAATGGTCCAGGTGTTTGTAGGGACTCTGTCGGGGACAGGACATCCAGGCAGAGCAGATCCCCCAAAGTGGGGTGGGGCGTGTCTCTGCTCTCCACCAGGTTCATGCTGCACACAGCCAGAGATCCAGGAGGAGCCCCCAAGTCCTGAGAATCAAGCCCGTCTCTCCAAACCCGAAAATCCACTAAGAGACACGAGGTAGAGGGAGAGCAAGGCTTTGACTGACAGTCTCGCAACACTGGGTGTCTGGGTGAGCAGGTGCCCTCAGAGCAGCCACCGTCAGCCTCTACCCCATGGTGTGCAGGGGTCCCTCCCCTGGTGCCTCATTGGCTGAATATGGTGGGTGCACAGTCTACTGTCACCTAGGTCACCTGTCTCCTACAGGGTTATTAAATAAGTGTACCTTTGTTTGTCCCCACCTCGCTGTGCTCTTTGTAGCAGGAAGGCCTTCTTGGACTGAGCACATCTTAGGTTTGCTCTGGGGTCAGGCTGGCCCTTCCCCCACCTCCTGCTTGTCCAGGGGCTGTGGATCTGGCACACTTGGTGTTAACTGCTTTCGACTCTCCACTCTGCTCCCTCCTGCTGCTTTTCTTTCCTCCCAGGCAATTTTACATTTAAGGCTAAATGCTGTATTCTGAATGCACCACCAGACTTTCTGTATCTCCCAGCAGTAACTTAAAGGAAACTTTACCAGTGACTTAAAGTCAACCTGCGACTCCCGTGCATTCCTCAGCTCATTATCTACAAATACATAAGAGTGGGCTCTCAGCCAGCGGAGGCTGTGGGCTGCCTGCTGAGATGCTGCTTCTGGCAGTGCGCAGGAGAGAAACAGGCCAAGGAGGACAGTGGGCACCCTGGGTGGGAAGGGAGCAGGAAGGTGAACCCTGAATCCTAGACAGCGGGCACCCTAGGTCGTTTCCCACCCACACAGGATCAGCACCTCCAGGACAGACCAGGAGCAAGCCTGGTGCCTAACTCGACCATGGCTGTGCATCACAGTGTCTGCTGAGGTCCTGGGGAGGGGATCCTGGGGGAACAGAGGTGGGACTACCCATTTCTTACTGTCTCATGGCCTTGGGGTGAGGGTCTGCAGGGCCATGAGCGTCACACTCACTGCCAGTCAGGCATCTGCCAAGGGACTGTGGGTTAGAATCCAGCTCCTGGGTCGGTAGATGGTGCCAGGCCAAATCCACCTGGCAGTGGGCATCCCTCTCCCCGTCCTCTGCCCTCCTTCTCAAGCACCAAGCTCCTGGAAACACACTGGCAGAGACGTGGGGCTCAATGACTTTAAAAGGCAGATTTGGTCTTCAGGAGTCACTAGAACAGGCTGAGGATCCAGGGGACACCACTCCCATGAGACAAAGTTTCCAGACACCTACAAAAACTGGGTCCTTTACAATGTTGCTCTTTACAGTTTTAGCAGAGAGTTTTTCTCCCAAACGCTCCAGCAAAGCTGAGAATCACACCCTTTGTACCTACTTGTTCAGACAGAGGGTTGGCAAGTGAAGACCAAGCAGGAGAACAGCGGTTGCCTTCAGAAAACTGTGCATAAGAAGATTCCTTGGCAGAGTTGAGCACATCTCTATTTTCAGAAGTGCAGTATTTGCCAACATATGGTGCTAACACCATTGGACAAGCAAAGGCCAAAAAGTGAAACTGGACCTGAACATCACACGGTAAATGAAATTCAACTCAGAATGGATCACAGGTTTTATTTCATTTATTTACTTTTTGTTTGTTTGTTTGTTTGCAATGGTGGGAGTTGAACCAGGGCCTGGCACAGGGTAGCAAGCACGAACCACTGGGCCACCCTCCTGCTTGGGGATCCTAGACCCAAATGTAAAATGTCAAAACCATGTAACTTTTAAAAGGAAACAAAATTCTTGGGACTGTTCTTGGTGAATAATTCTTAACTATGAGGCTAAAAGCAGGATCCATAAAAAAATAGAAAACAAAGATGCACTTGGCTCTGGCTGAAGTCAGAAGTGCTTGCTCTGTGAAAGAAGATGAGACATGGGAATAAATTATGAGCAGGCCACACACCTGGCCAACACCGATGGTGGAAAAGCCATCCAGTGAGAACTTGGGCAAAGAGAAAACCTCACTGAAGAATGTAGATGGAGAACAACTGTGTGAAGAGAGGTGCTCACCTTACGGGCCTTGAGGGATTCAGGTGAGTCCAAAAAGAAATGAAAAGACCACACACCTGTTGGAATAGATAGACAAAGACAAGAAACAGAGACAATTCCAAGTTCAGGTGACAACGTGGAGAAGCCAGGTCTCTTGTGCTGCATGGGTGGGTAGCTGAAGGGTTAGCGATGGGGGTGGGGATCCAGGCTGGAGGCTATGATGGTTCACGCTTTGCTGTCTGTGTTCCTGGAGGGGGAGGTCAGACCTGTAGGTTGGGCTTTTTCTGCAGGTGCATTCACCTGCTCCAAACGAAGTTCTACATGTGGCAGTTTCATCCACCTAAGCCCTTGGGTCATGGTGTCCCTGCCAGGATTCCTGGTGTCCTGGTGAATTCTGGACTCTGTAGGCCATGAGTCTTCCCTGAGAAGCTCCCTGGGGTGTCCCAGAGCAGGGTCCCCTGGCACTCCCCATTCAAAAGACCTCCTTGAGCTCCTCTTGGTGTGCACAGTAGGCTCTTGCTTTCCCTTGGTAACTCTGAACTTAGTTCTTTCTATGACACATGATGAAGGCAGGGACTGGAGGCCCTTTGCAGTTGGCCTCTCAGAGCCTTTCCCCTGCTCCCCTCTAGGGACATGGCTCATGCAATGGGGTGGCAAAGGCAGTGTCAGCACTACCAGGGCACATTCTGCTGTATGTCTCTTTCAGGGCCCGGACAACAGTTGTGTCAGCTGCCCACGGGGCAGATTGGATTTGGAATTAAACGGGGGAGTGAGGGCTTGTCCAGGCATGAGACCTTTTCCACACATCCCTGGGGCTTCATAAAACCTATCTAAATTCTATATCGCAGTTTGCAGGAAGCTGGTGCTAGGACAAGACGAGGCCCATCATCTGACATTCGTGACCTTCCTCACAAGCTTTCAGACAAAGTGTCTTACTTTTTACTAGTGGTATGGTACGACAGGTGTGCGAATCTCCCAGAATTCCCAGAGGGATTCATCACAGCCACAAAGACAGGGGACGCTGCCTTCAATTTCTGTGAAGTCAATGTCTGTGAGGCGTGTATTTCTGGACAAGGAGCCACACGAGAGGGAAAGCAGTTGATGATCTGCACTTCCCTTCCTTTCCTCCTCTGCTGGTGAAGCTTACAGAGGACTCGAATGTCTCCTTGAAGGACAAAATTTTGACATTTTACCCTCCAATTTGGTTTTCAGTGAGCCTACTTACTTCAAGTAGAGAGCATTCTGATGCAGTAGCAGGGACTGCAGGAAATGACACTCCTGCCTCCCGGGTCTCAGCATGTGGCCTGCTTATGGCTACTGGGGATGATTGCTCCTGAGCCCCTCAGTACAGAGGGCAGGAAATGGACCTATTCTACTAACCCATGCCAACAAGTGCAAATCTATCTATCTATCTATCTATCTATCTATCTATCTATCTATCTATCTATCTATCTATCTATCTATCATCTAGCTAAACTTTCCATCCATCTATCCATTCATCCATCCACCCATCCAATTGTCCATCCATCCATCCATCCATCCACCCATCCACCCACCACTCATTCACTTTTTATTATCTATCTGTCTATCTATCTATCTATCTATCTATCTATCTATCTATCTATCTATCTATCTATCATCTAGCTAAAATTTCCATCCATCTATCCATTCATCCATCCACTCATCCAATTGTCCATCCATCCATCCATCCATCCATCCA